TTTTTATTATGTTTAATGTATGCACTAATGGCACGACGATTAAATGCATCAGGTTTTCTTAAAGAAGTCAAATTATCAAAAGATACAATATAGTATGACACTGCCTCGAAAAATATGAGGAGATTTTTATACAAACTCTAATTTATTGTTAATTGAGTTTTGAAGATTTCCATCAGGAAGATCTTTCTGATGATGATGAAAGATATACATCAAAAGTTCTAAATAATTTTTGCCATGAGATATCGGTAGTCGATTAGATATGTGGCATACATTTTGAAGGCTTACCTTTGGTCAGGACTAAAAGATCAGAACTCTCAGAAAATCTACTATCCATACTAAACTATTGAAAACCAAGGTCTTATTGACGCATGTAGAAGAGAACACGTGAGAGTATCGCTACTCATGGAATAAAACTAAAAAATGTTATCAGTTCATTTTCTGAAGATCGAAAATAGTTTTTCAGAGATCCTCTTGAAACTAAGTCAGAAAAAATTTTCGAAATGCATTTTTTATGAAAGTTTAGCCTTAGATCTCCTACAAAATGATAGAAATTCAATCTATTCAGCTCTGTTTTTTCTCGAATCCTTCACAACATCTGCGACTACCTATAATTGTAAAATGAATAGTAATTTATCTCGAATTGCAGTTTGTTTGTTTTTTATCAAAAATGGAATGGTACACTTGTTATTTAGTACAGATCGCTTGTATTAATTGAGCATGCACATCGCTAGTTCAATGATTATTGCTCAAGCTGCTGTTCAGCCACGTTTTCGAATGTCTATAATAAAGTACATTTAGTCTGACACTTTTCTGATACTAAACTATCATTTGAGACTCTATATTTCTGAACATATTGGCAAACATTATTTTCTTCTCAATTTAGACCGTGTCGGTCTATGAGTATGCTTATTTATTAAATTAAAAAGATAACATCCTAACGTTCAATGATCCTCTATTTTTGCTATTATTATTTTCTTAGTTCTATTTTTTTTTTCTCGTCCTCTATTTTTTCTATAGAAGTAAATCTATCGAAGAATAGTTCTCATTTACATATTTATATTTTCATCTTGTATTATCTGAAAAGACACTAAATTATTCTAATATATTATATTTTCATACACAAATTTGTTAAAAGATATTCTCTCATTTATGAATTGGACAACATTGAATTGTACATTAGGCATCAATTGTACTACAAATATTAATAAAGATCAATTATTTTCTCAGACCTTAGCCACTGTACAAGGTTTCTTTTTTATACCAATATTTTTTCTTGGAATTGCTAATAATTTTTTAACAATTCTTATTATTATCGTAAATGGTGATATGCATACGGTAACAAATTGTTATTTGCTCAATTTAGCTGTTTCCGATAGTTTACCGTTAATTGTTAGTTTACCATTTGAAATTCAGGTATCTAATGTTATACCTCTATTCTAGAGTAAATATTCAAATGAATTTTTTTATTTAATAGTTTCTTGTTATGTATATGAACTATTATCCATTTGGTCAAATTGGTTGTAAATTACGCAGTCTTTTAGCTGAAACATCAACTAATGCATCAATTTTAACAATAAGGTAGAAAAATATATACTCAATCCTTATTTATAAACGCCACAATAATCGAATTATATTTTTAGTGCATTTACTATTGAACGTTTTGTAGCCGTTTGTTATCCTTTACGTTCATCATCATTATCAACTATCAATCGTGCATTAAAAATTCAACTTCTCATTTGGCTTATTGCCATTTTATTTGCAATTCCATATTATTGTTTAACCATTAAAACATCGGTTGGATGTACATTTGATTTTACAAAAGATAAAAAATTATTGCCACTATGTTTTCAAATATCAGCATCCATATTTTTTGTTTTACCAGCTTTTTTATTATGTTTAATGTATGCACTAATGGCACGACGATTAAATGCATCAGGTTTTCTTAAAGAAGTCAAATTATCAAAAGATACAATATCAGTTGGATGCTTGGATACTACTCAGCATCTCCAACATGAATATGAAAACCATCAACGATTATTATTAACTCATTCTTCATATCCAAGATCAACAATAAATATTTTAACACGACCAAATTCTCGTCCATCTAGTATACTACAACAATATCGAGAAAATTCAATGAAAAAATCAGCATTCAAAATGCTATGTAAGTACATTAGTACCAAAAACTGTTTGATAAAGGAAGTCATGAAGAACGAGAGAACTTTTAATTTGTATATATAATATTAATTATTGAATAGTTAGGAAAGAAATCCGTAAAGGAAGTTATTAGACGCTACTGTAACAAGTGAGCTAGACAAAACCGGCCACTCTTATTCGTTGTTTTTCCAGATACTTTACAGTAGTTCAATGAGTTCTTTCTAGACTCAATTGATAAAGAATTGAATTCTCTACAAAATCTGCTATTTGAATTTCTGATAGCATTTTTATCATACGAGCGCCATTCCAAATATTGCAGAATGCTGACTTCTCGAACTACGACACGCTGAAAATAGAAAAATATTTGTCTTGATCTAGAAACACATTCCATAAGGATTTTGACAACATCAAAAGATTCAGCGGAAAATTCTACACCTTCTCACATACTTTTCGAAATTTTACAGTTAAGTGTTCTACGAATATCTTTCTGTGCAAAAAACTGATAAAACTAATAAAATTTAACTTTTAAACCTACTTTTCAGAGACTTTAGTATTTTTACTATAAAAGCAGTAAAACGTTGTGAATTCAGGGCTTTAATTTTATTATCTTACACAGAAGTAAATTCTACATTATTTGATATCTAAACAAAGTTTCAATTGATACATTAATTAAGAAACTTAATTTAATTTGAAAAAAATTGAAAAACTGGTTGAGAACTAATAATGATTCCAGTTAACATAGTGAAAACATTGTATGAAGTTGTAAATGAATGGGGTCGATAGAGCACAAAATTCTCTATCTTTCTACATAGAACAATTAACTATGGAATCCCAGACAATGGGCTAAAAATCTTAAAAAAAAGAGACGACAAAAGCATGTCGCAGTTCGAGAACTCAGCATTCTGCAATATTTTGAATGGGGCTCATTCGACAAAAATGCAGAAATTCAAATTGCAGGTTTTGTAGAGAATTCAGTTCTCTATCGATTGAGTCTAGAAAGAACTCATTGAACTACTGTAAAGTGTCTGGAAAAACAACGAATAAAAGTAGCTGGTTTTATTTTACAATTACTATTTGAACATTACTCATATAACTCTTTCTGTTGGGAAACTTGGATATATAATTAATTAGTTGATTGACAGGTCTACAATTTTAAGCTACTCCAATCTCTCGTCAATAGACGACATATTTTTAGATTCTTATCTGCCATACCAAATTTCAAGATAATCAATCTGCTATCACTAACGTAAAGTATAGCCATTCTAATAAACATATATAACTAGCGAGGGAATCTTTCGAAGTGATTAAACGCTTTTTGCTCGGAATCTAGTGGGTTATAGGTTATAGGCCATGCTGATTACGAATATGACCATGGGGATTGCCTTAGCCCTTCGAAGATCTGGTTTTCTAGATAACCAGTTTTTCCGAAACTCTAAAATATAACTCGAATCTTTCTTAATGAGGCATGATTGTAGCCCACACATTTCTGATTGAAATGAGACATCTCCCAGCTTTATACGATCTTTCTTTGCACAGTTATAGAATTTACAAGAAAAGCCCTAAATTAATTTCCTCTTATTTCTGTAGCTGCAATGAACATTTAGGGCTTTTCTTGTAAATTCTATAACTGTGCAACGAAGGATCGTATAAAGCTGGGAGATGTCTCATTTCAATCAGAAATGTGTGGGCTACAATCATGCCTCATTAAGAAAGGTTCGAGTTATATTTTAGAGTTTCGGAAAAACTGGTTATCTAGAAAACCAGATCTTCGAAGGGCTAAGGGCAATCCCCATGGTCATATTCGTAATCAGCATGGTCGATAACCTACAACCCACTAGATTCCGAGCAAAAAGCGTTCAATCATCTCGAAAGATTTCCTCGTAAGTATAAAAAAAAGAGCTTTTCCAAAATTCATTTCTTTTTCTCTTCTATTTCGCTCGCTTCCATTCTATTGCTTAAATTCAAAATACAACCGTATTTCATTATGGTTGATGTAGTTTTCATTGTCCTGGAAATACAAAACGTTGTTTAAAGATTCGTAAATTATTCATGATAAAGAATATGCATAATAATTATTCAGCTAAATACGATACGAAAGAGAAAATGATCATGTTATGTCTAATAATAGACTAAAAGATATCATAGATTTTAAAGGAGTCATTTGTCGTACTCACAATATCAGAATTAAAATAAATGAGAGAACTGGTAATCTGATTGGTTTAATTTAATTATATATCTTTTTCAACAAATATTCTTATTGTTCGATCTTACGTAACACACGAGTAACATTAAAAAGAGATTTCTCACAACATCATTAGTTATAACTTGAAGAAAATAAACATATTCAACAAACGACATAATTTTTATTGAAATTCGATTAAGTTTATGCTTCAAATAATATAATAATCGAATAATAAAACATTCTTACAACAACAAAAAACAATCGAAACGTGAACTTTTGACATCTTTTATCGTTCTAATTATATTTATCGTTGCTTTTTAGTTGCAGTCGTAGTGGCCTTTATTTTTTGTTATGCCCCTTTTCATATTCAACGATTAATAACAAGTAAAATTCATGAAAATACTCTAACAATATTCAAACGACGATGTATTGAAATATTTTATTTTGTTAGTGGAATATTGTATTATCTTGGTTCAACTATTAATCCGTAAGTTAAAAAAATATTCATACACTGAATACATTTTTTATATACCTTTTTTAATTTTTAGAATATTCTATCATTTATTTTCACGTAAATATCGATTAGCATGTGTTCGAACATTGAAACGTTTTGTTCATTGTCAAAGGCAACGACAACAAAAATCGTTTAAAATTGAACAAACGAATACACCGTTACACAATCATCGTGAATTAGATAAATCAAATATAAGATTTCTATGTTACACAACAATTTCACCAGGTCTCCTTACTAGAGGTAAAACTCAGCATGTTCGAAGAAGTATTGCGTGTAGTTCTAATAGAAAATTTGTGAGAAATTCGCTTCCAAATTTAAGGCAACACCTTTGGTAATCATATAAATAAGTATATAAATTATACAAACTACTCAGTATTGTGTAAATATATTTCATTATTAACAATAAAACATTTTGTGCGAACAAGATCATTGAAAATATTGAATGATAACCGATTAATTTTAGAAGAGATGAACAATAAAAGGTTGAGTAAAAATGTATTGGATATGTCAAAAAAAGTCGCTCATCACTAATTTTCCTTTTTTTCGACTTATGTAGGACAATTGAACGATAGTGAAAAGTATCGAGGGATGCGTGAAAACACTGTAAGACATTGTCAACTAAATTTAACTCAATTCACAAAGTGAATTATGTGAAGTATTTGTCCTAGTGAATTTTGTGTTAAATACGATGTGGATCAAGATTTTGAGAGCAGAAATGTTCAGATCGTATGTAAATACAGACAGGATGATTTAAGATCTTGACAGTACAAAATTACTTGAGAATTGAGTTCTAGCTGCTATATGAGAATCAAAATGTCATTGAAATAATACGAAATATTCTTTTCTACTGTAGAAGAAAATTTGAATATTTAGGGTAACTTATAAAATGAAAGAAATCAACTTAGTCTATTATCTCATTAACTTATACACAAACCAAAAACATCATTCAACTTGATCAACTATTAAAGAAAACATTCTTATACTCACATTTCTCTCGTTGCTCTGTGTGTAGTGTGAGAATTCTCACACTATAACTTTATACAAGTATTAAGTATTTTATTAATCATATGAGTTTTGTTTACTGATGTCACGATTAAATAATTCTAGCGTATATAACATAGGAATATTACCTAAATCTCTCACATTCAATCAAGACACTCGTAAATTTATTTAAAAAAACAATAAGCTGCTTAGAGCAAGAAAAAAGTATAAACTAAAAAAAAATCCTAAACAAAACTTGAAAAACAATAACATTTTGTAAAGTGAACGTTTTTCCTATGATACAATATACCATTTAGCGACAATTGCTGTCGTGAACACTATGAATAAAAATAAACGTTCACCAAGAATTGGATAATAGACGACATGTATGGAAGAAAAACAAATAAGCACAAGAATAAAAACCAAAAAGAAGCAAAGCAAATAGCCGACCGGATCCAGCAAACTATGGTTTACACTCCCTGAGCAGTTAGTTACATAACATTCTGACATAGTTGAAACAAATCGGTAAGAAAAACACAAAAAAACATACATATAGAAGCTTTGAATGGAATTGTAAGTTATTATAGTGAGTTTAACTCGGAGAAGAGAAGAAATGTAGTATAACATAAATAACGATGAATCCAATATCACAAAAATTCAAACAAAATGAGATTCTTGCTGAATAGATCGAGACTGCCTTCTACATAATAAAAACATAAAGTCCAACCATAATATAGACAAGACAGTGAATATGATTTCGTTTTCTTATCATTTGAGGAAAGATAGATGACTATACATTATGAATGAGTAATAAAAAATAAACATCTGAATCTATAGTTTGATTCTTTCTTCTCTCGTATTATGTACGATCTCATTTGATAAATGTTAACTCGACGAAAACGAGAAGACAAGAAAATGTTTAAATACTCAAAATATTTGTAACAAACAAACAAATACACGTATATAAATAAACATTGTTTTAATCAAGCAACAACTATATTATGAATTACTTCGGTTGGCATCGTACGAACCAGACGTTGTTGTTCCGGAGATGATTTCATTGTTTTTTGACTGAGTGTTATCGTTTCCTCCATTGACGATTGATTCTAGTAAGGTAAATAAGAGAAAAATATAGATTATGTTTTAATAGACAGAAGTGTAGTGCATGCATATAGATTCGTAAAGTGGTAGTAAAAAAATAGACAATTAGTTTTCTCTTCTCGTCTCGTTTGGCAACCAGTCATGCATGATATATACTAACCTAGATCGTATTCTGCTTTACGAATCTACAAAAACTCGAAAGTCATAGACATGAGTAACGAACATCCAAAAGTTCGTTAGTGGTAACTATTTAGTAGTGGTAACAATCTTTTCTAAGATTGTCTCCATCTAATCCCGTTAAAAGTTCAAGATGCGATAAATATCAATAGTAAACGGTGGAAAAACTTTGTTATCATAAGTAATTAAAATTATTATTTTCAATTAGAGTTAGTTTAAGAAGATGTACAATATAGAAATTCACTTACCTGACGAAAATAATGCATCATTTCCAAAAATGCTATGAGGGCAAGACAAAGTAAAAATGACACAATGATATAACCGACTTTGAATGTTTCATAGAAACGTCGACCAGTATGCATTAACTGATTAATATGAATAAATTTTGATAGTGTTGCATCATTTAGTGTAATTGTCTGATCAATCCAAAACATTGGAATAATACGTTTTACTCCTTCTGCATCTATTACTCTACACAAAGAATAAAAACTCATGCATCATGTGAACACATTGAAAAAACTGCATTTACTTCGTGTTTTCATGTATATCCACTTCTATTTTATCGACATACGTCCGAGCATTCAGTTGAACACGAAGTTGAGCTTTTATTGGTGTGCCTGTGATTGGTTCAAAGTAAACTGTTGATTCATGTCTATCTTTATCCGGTATAAAATTAACATTCCAGTTTGTTGGCAATGACGTGTTAGTAGTGTACATATGCGGTTTGGATAAATAAAAAGCATCCTTTAACGTTTCTGTAAATGTAAACAATAATAGTCTTTAAATTGACAAAAAAAGACCATCATTTTTTTGTGAAATTTACCTGAAAAACATTTTGATATATCCAAATATTGTGATTCTTCACATGTGACATTCATATCTGAACAGGTTTCATGATCAACCAAACGCAAAACGTATTCATGCACAGCATTCAAACCAAACATAGGCAGCGTTTGATTATACCGTAACTGAATAGGTCTGAAATTAGAATAACAAGTTTTTAAGGAATAAAAAACGAGTTCTGGCTTTTTACCGGCAAAAATCTGCTTGAAAAATATTGATTGCTGGCATTTTCGTTGGATTATTCAATGGTGGAAACGTCAAGCCATCTGAATAAGAAATAACGATAATAAAGAGCATAGATATATAGACGAAGAAGGAAGAGCGACATACCATAAAAACTGAAATTGTATTTGCTATAATTTGTTCGAAACGGCGAGCTAAATTAATAATAAAAAGCGTTTGACTGGTTGTTAAATTCAATTGACACAGTAGTCGCAGTGAGTTAGTCAATGACAGACATAGTTCTACACAATACTTTGGTAGAATAATCTTATAGCGACTTGTTGCTGTCTTCCATCCGTAAGACTGTGGTGAAAAATGGCAAAGAATGCTAGTTTGATTTTTTTCAACTGTCAAGATCTCTAGTATAGAACGTCACATATACACATTGCATTGTAAGACATAACTCACTATTCTGACTTATAATCAACAACACGTCCTTTTTCCATTAAATTGTCACTACCAGTTCGTATTGTGAAATTATATCCACGACTTCCATTATACTGAAAAGTAAATAGGTAATTGAACATCGACAAAACATCACCTCTTACGTTGATTGTATACCATACTTACACGATATATGTAACCATACTTGTCTGTATTTGGACCGACCATTTGTGCTTGTATAAAAGCAAATATTCTTGAAGCAAATCCTTCGATTAGATCAACAGCACGTGTATGGTTATCAAACACATTATATCCCGCACCAATAAACATATTTTCATGAGCTTTTGGATCAAATTTTGTTCGAAATAGCTAAGTCGCAGAAAAAGAGAATGTATAAAAAGGAGTAAGTGGTGTATGTTGTTTTTACCAATCGAGGAATATCAACAAATGCTCCTTTTTCGTTTAATAATGCCTCATTAAAAGTATCGATGCGTTCAAACAAACGTTCAACACTGTAGCTCACTTCGCTGTTATCATCTGACCAATCAATATCATTCTTTTTAATCGACAGTCTAGACAAAAAATACATTATTGATAAAAAAACAGACGTATGTATAAATAGTTGCTCCATAGTGCCAACGTACCGTGTCCGGCGGAACGGTTTCAGTCGGAAAGAGTCAGATCATGAAATGAGATAAGTGTATTTGAATTATTATTAAGATCAGCAGAACTTTTGAGCAGTGATAGTGGCATAATCAACGCATTTCGTTTTGTGAGTGAAACGGAAGCGCGAGTGATCAAGCAATATAAAATCAGAGTTCAAACTATCAAAGTTCGCAAGTGTTACTTCAAACTGGAACCTAGATCTACTTTTGAAAGATATGATTAATCATACTGCATATCATGATGTTCGCGAAAGTGGAAATGCTGTACGTTACTTTTTTATCTGAAGCTGTTCAAAGACATAACATATTTGGTTATGCAACGTGGATATTCTAATAGAGAATATCGTTAATGATACACATACAGAATGTGTCCACCGAGAAAAATGGCTATAACGTCGTTGATCAAATGAGCTCATTTTTTTGTTTAATAGGAAAATGTTTAGAGTTTTAGATATAGCAAAAACTAAAATGTCATACTCTATCGATTCCAGAATAAAACTTGTTGTATTAATGGCAAAATTTGAATCTGTAATGTTGATCCGTCGACCATTTTTACCCTTAAGTCTTTATCTTCATCATCAAGTTGTTGAGTGGAAAGCATCTCGTAGGTAATAAAGTTTTGTAATAAAGAATATGATGTGTTATGTACCACGTCTACGTTAGAGGAATATTTAGTTCATTTGAAATGTTAGGAAGACCTTTTGCTGGTTGAGAATCGAGATGATCAACAATTTGAAAAACTTTTTGTCTCGGATAATAGTTTATGATCTTCCTGGACGATCGCCATCTTCAACCAAGTCCGTCCAAAGAAATCTATCATAAACTGACCTAATTATCTTGTCTGTTAGAATATCTGATTCAATACTGGCTTGTAAATGACGACGGACAGACATTACAGATTCAAATTTTGCCATTAATACAACAAATTTTATTCTGGAATCGACAGAGTATGACATTTTAGTTTTTTGCTATATCTAAAATTTTAAACATTTTTCTATTAAACAAAGAGATGAGCTCATTTAACCAACAAAGTTACAGCCACTTTTCTCGGATAGTAACTTTTGGAGCACTCTGTGATATATGTGAAAAGGTTCTTGATGTTGCTAAAACAGAGTATTACAACCAGTGACGGATTTGAGGTTCTTTACTTTGACATAATGTAAAAACTCGTATTGGCCATATAAACGTAGAGCTGGGTAGTGATAACATTCTAACATCAAGACATATCAGTCGTAATAAAAGTAAATCAGCTTCAGTCGTAAGTAGACTAACCTTCGTAATATTGAAACATATCAATATTTATTCTAGCATTGTTTTCACTGGCAGACAGAAACGACGATGAACAGAACAGTTTAATTATCGTTTCAATATGGCAGACAATAGTAACATTAAATTCATTGACTATAAATATACTCTTAAATAGACGATACATACTTGTACATAAATGGATCAGTTTCTTGTATTTCCATAGGACTACTCGGATTTGTCATAATCGTCTTGTAATTTGTTACATTAAATAATCGATAGGCACGTGTTGTTGTCACGGGTGATTCTATCCAATTTTTATAACCATCGGATTCTGGGCGAAGTTGAATTTTCTAAATATAAAAATGAATTTACAATAGATAGCATCAGCGATCTCGAAGTCGATACACATATAAGTCTTTATATAAAATTTTGTTTCTTTACCAATAAAACTTTATGATGTATCCAATCAGCTATTGTTGGCCATTGTGTAACAAATATTAATACCGGTGCAAATATAAGTAATAAAATAGTTAATGAAAACATAAACCGTACAGGCATTGTACAAAATGATTGGCATTTTTTTGAATGTTTCGTTTTTGAAACTCTTTTCGCATCATCGTTACCTTTGTGCAACGTCATCTTTAAAAAAAGGTATTAACATGTATTCTATTAAAAGTAACAATTTTAATCGAAGCTAAAGGGTCTTAGATGGTCAACTAAGTGGATAATTCTTTTTTCTTATTCATACTCCGACATATTTTCACATGTTAGCGAACATAAAAAATTTTTCCAATTGAAAGAAAACAGAAGATGGATAAAAGTGCTGGAATGTTGTTATTCTATTGTTCTCAATACGACAAGGAAAGAAGAAACCTACAATAACAGATCTGTGATATGTCTGAAAATATTTCTTACACTACTTACAAAAAAAATGAATAGATAACTGTAATCAAAAGAATAAAATACAATTAACTGAAATCGTGTGTAATTTGTAAATGCTAAAAATAATCTAACAGAGACGGAGGGAGAACGTCGAAAAATGATCAGATTACCCATATGTCGCACAAAAAATGTCCGTCCACAACGAAAAGAAAATTAATAGAGTGCATGTATCGTTAGAAAAGTTCTAATTTGTTTCAGCAGAAAAGTGTACACTATTCTAAATAACTCTACTAATCAACTATAATTCATTCACGAAATGTGTATCATCGACAAATTAACAATTACATAATTGCTACTCATGTCATCATTATTCCTCTCTAATAAAAATATCGTTGGAATCAGTAATATCGTTGGACATCAGTAATAGACAGATACTATATGCGTATATTCATCGAAAACTTTGATTTGATTTTACTAAATATTTTGTTCACCAGGGAGAATTTATTATAAAAAAAGCATGATCACTAGTGTGATTGAAAAAACTTAAAAAAAAGACAATTAGCAGGTACATCTTTTTTTTAAATGTACAAATTGCTATCTGTTGAAAGAGGCTGAGAAAGAGTAGATAAATAAAAAATACAAACAACCTTCAAAAAATTTCAACGTGTAACCATATAAACTGTTCTATCTAGAGAGTAGTCATCATAGATTTTAATTGTGTACAAACCATCGTACTTGAAAATTAAAGATGAGAGTGGTCTAATATGGGCTATCTTTCAAAAGAAAATACAGCTACCTAACAAACACAATTTTTAGCACACACTGCCTGAATGTATAATTGTCAAGGGGGACAAGCACTTTTTTTTAGTATAGTACCTCGGCACCTTTTCGGCACTCCAATTGGCATTAGGTGCTGCTTTTCCCACCTTGATAATTGTGCTTTCGTCAAATACCTCCGTAAAACCCCCAAGCAATAGCTAACTTATAATTATAATCTAACAGTAATATATAGTAGGACAATCCTAAAGAGGAAAAGTCGAGAAAACTGGCAGGTTAAGATGGGTGATTCTTTCGAGAGTGCACCAGAGTTTACATCGACTTTATCCGAATTGTTCGAGAGTAACAGGACTAGTACAACTTGGACTCCTGATGACGAATATCGCGTTTAAAAGATTCTACAACAACGGCACGGTGCTCATCTAGACCTGCTGGGATCGCATTTTCCAGCAGAACAGACCTTTTGTGGGCATATTCACCATGTTTTAGTGAACCATTTTCATGAGCTAATACCGTCAGATTCTATATGTGCAGAGGTACCAAATCACTAACGGACAAAAAGCTCCAAAATGTTAAGTACGTTCTCAGAAAATTTTTAAAAAAGTCGTTATTTCCGAAAGCCCTTTTTTGTAAACCATATTTTCCCCATAAAATCGTATTCACACAAGAGAAAAAGATATGCATTCGACGCGTCTTTTCAAGCTCTATTCGATGAAGTGGTCCGCATTGAGATCACAAAATGTTTAACGAGAAAAAAACAACTTTTGAAAGCGATTTTCCACGTTTTCCAAAGTTTGAGTGCGTGCTGCACCATAACACGAGATTCCAGGACGTGGAATGACATATATCTCTAAGACATATGACATATATACTCGACATAGACTATTACAGAAACAGACCTTTACCTTTGGCCAAGAACTTTTGAAACAGAAGAAATCCTGTGGTATTTTTGCAGGAAAAAACACTCGCCTCTAAAAGTTCTTGGCCAAAGGTAAAGGTCTGTTTCTGTAATAGTCTATGTCGAGTACATGCGAGATATATGTCATTCCATGTCCTGGAATCCTGTGTTACGGTGCAGCACGCACTCAAACTTTGGAAAACGTGGAAAATCGCTTTCAAAAGTTGTTTTTTTCTCGTTAAACATTTTGTGATCTCAATGCGGACCACTTCATCAAAT